AACACAGTGTGTAGTCCTGTCGAAATTTCGAGACCTTTTATTATCTTTGCCACAACCAGAGACACTCAGAGAGCCTGAATGGGATTAGGAGCCTACTGAAGTCTCTCATCAGAAAATGTGTAATACGTGTCTCTTCCCTAGCAAGTTTAGACATGAAACAGGCAAGACAGACAAAGTGGTTATCTCCATTTCACACACTAGCAGAAGAGGCATAAAGATGAAGTTACTTTCCCAAGTTTACAGCAACAGAAAGCAGAAACCGATAGCAAATTTCCTTAAATCCATCCCAACTCTTTTACTCTTTCATCAATGTCTTTATCCAAATCTGAAAGCTTCATCTCCCATCTCATTCACTTCAACAGTTCATGAAACAAAATGCATCCAACAGGATTTTTTGTGGGATTCCCTCTTTCTTACATTTCATCCTGTTAAAGGCATGTAGCACATAGCAAAAAACAGCACTTCAAATTCCTTTTCCAGCAGGGAACAAAAGACTCTCATGGGACCAGGTTCTACTACCCTTAGGAGAGATGCTCCACCTAGAAAGTGAAAGATTGACCCAATACATAGGATGTCCCCCCAGCTTTTACTTCTGTATATAACCCCAATCTGCCAGGGAAAATTTTAAGGGTAGATATTGTACACAGTTATGTACAAAACTAGCATGGTGCAGAAAGAAGAGAAGAAAAAGTAGTTTAAATTGAGGGAACACACGGGATCTGGGAGCTGATCATCCTGATTCCCATCACATGGCACGTACACAGCAACCAGGGGATCAGCATGAGTTCATGAAAGACAGGTCCCTCTTGAGCAACCTTTTGTGACAAAATAACTCACTTTCTGGAGGAGGGAAAAGCTGTGGATGTTGTCTACCAGAACATAAGGCTTTTGATATCTTCCCCCACAGCTTTCTCCTAGAGAAACTGGCTGTTTACTCATGGCTTGGACACATGCTCTGTTCTCTGGATAAAACAATGCCTGTGTGGCTGCACCCAGAGACTGGGGGGGATGGAGTCACACCCAGCTCATGGCTGATCACCGCTCCTGCTCCCCAGGGCTCAGTGCCAGGCCTGTTTACACCTATGATCTGGATGAGGGGACTGAGTTTGCAGACAACAGTGAGTTGTCTCCACAATTATCTGAAAGGAGGTTGTACCGAGGTGGGTGTTGGTCTCTTCTTCCATGTAACAGTGATAGAAAAAGAGAAACCAGCCTCACACTGTGCAGGGGAGGGTTAGACTGGATATTCCGAAAGGGTTGTCAAGAATTGGAACAGGCTGCCCAAGGAAATGGTGGAGTCACCCTCCCCAGAGGTACCAGAGGTATTTAAAAGATGTGTGGATGTAGCACTTAGAGACATGGTTTAGTGGTGGACTTAGAAGGGTCAGGTCTAATGATTCTATGATTCTCTGAGGCACATCTGAATATTCATGAGGCAAGCCTTTCCCATGAGAACATTAGTAATGAGGGGGAAAACTTCAGCAATTCAGTGTCTGCACACCATGATTCATCCTTTCCAACACCACAGCTGTTAAATACAATTTTGTTAATTTACTTGGAAAATTTAGAATTTCAAGTTTTCGCATATATATTGACTTGTGAAAAAAAATTGCAATGAAGTAAAGATTTTAATGACTAGAACAAGTCGCTTCAAGTGAGCTTCTATAAAGTGTGTCCTAAATGTCTGAGGTGATATGAAATGTATTTAGGATTACAAAACATTTTAAGGCAGCTATATGGACAATGACTCAACATAAGGATAAGTGTAAGGGAGTGTTAACTAAGCATAGGTAATTATTTACTTTAATGTAGTATCTCTCTTTGCATATATAAAATAAATGTATTGAACAAGAAAGAGAAATTTCTTGAATTAGTATAATTTAAGAGCCATTTGAAACTCAGAAATATGCATTACCTTTTTTTTTCCCCCAATGGTACTGCTCATAGTTATAATTTCCATGGCAATGAAAAGAAAGGCATCTGAAACGAAAGTGTTAGAATAACAAGCTTTTTCCATTTCACTGCTAGGAGCAGGACAATAACTGCTAAAGTTCAGAAACAGCAGACCTGAAAAAACATTATTTTTATCACCTGCATTGCTAAAATGTAATCTGTGGCAATTTGCCCAGGCCTCCTAAGGCTGAATCAGAAGATACTACTGTTATTCCTCCCAGTACTTCTTGTTTGTGCTAGTCTGGGCACAGTTTGATGTCAAAAAACAGATTTCTACTGCCAAGAGGACAGGTATTTAATGCTGGAATAAAATACACTGAACCACAGTAACCTCAAGCCTTGATGCTCTACTTCCTTATATTGGAATTATCATGAAACTTGAACATATATCATACTTTTTTTACCAGATAATGTTGCTTTACATTATTTGTAGAATCATTGTTAAGTTATAGATGATTTCTTCAGGGTCTGCAACTGATGACAAGCAAGTGTTCTTTTCCCCATAAATAAAATTACTCACGATCAAATCCTAGTGCTTGTGCACAGGACAGAAAGGAAGTACCAATGGAGGAATAATGTGTTTAGTAAAGGTAAAGCAGAAGGTGTTATGTGCTGCAAATTCCAGGAATCTGCTTTACCAATGCCAGCTTGGCATTCTGGAGGACAGGTTTATAGAGGTTCTAGGTGCTGCTTTCAAAAGATGTAAGCATATTCATACCTGCTTTCTACAAAGATCAATGGCTGAATTGCATAAAAACCCCAGTTGAAGGCAAAGGATTCCCAAGGTGACACAGACAAGTCAATAATGTATTAGAATTTCCAATTTTAATCTGTATAAAACAAATTGTTTTGAGACCTTTACTTTCTTCTGAGTCTGACACAATGAGACGTTGACCTGCTCTCTCCAACCAATTTATGGAAAGCATTACATAAAAAGCATGGAAGTTTCTCAGATGTAAGGGGTCATGCTTGGTGCAGACATCTCACCCTAAACAACCCTTCCTAAGCATCACCAGGCTTGAGTGTGCACTGCACCAGCCACAAGGAATACCAAGTTACAGACACAGCTGCACTGACACCCACTGACTAACCAGAACACTGGGACCCAGCTCTGCTTTTGCTTTGTCAAACCAGAGCCAGAAACACTGATAAGGATTTTAAAATTGGTTTCAGCAAGTTTCTCACTATGTGAACATTTGTAAGCTTTTCTGATCAAGATATCCGTGGCTACCTTACTGATTCATTCCCAGAAATGCCATTTAGATTTTCATCTTTCCACATCTATATTAGGCAAGGAAAACTGTATATTTTATGCATTTATTTTCTTTCCATTTTCTAGCTGATACCTTGTTTAGGCTGCTTCTTTTGAGAGCAAAAATGCTAGCCATACATGTCAATAAATATTAGTTAAGTAACAAAATGCCAAGAGTTCTAAAAAGCAAGAGTTTTAAAAAGTAATGGCTTTCAATTTTTGAGCTTTATGAAAATTTTGAGAACTTGCCACACAAAATTAGTTTGAATACAGTAAACCTTTTCTTCATTTTTCTTCATGCAAGTAGTTGTAAGACAGCACCCATGGCAGCATAACACTGGAAATTAAGAGGCAGATAGCAAGCTGGAGGAGCACTAACAAATCTGACTTAGATGCAGAATCTTCTCTATTGATTTTTTGGTTTTTTTACTTTCTTCTCACTCTGATGCTCTACAGCACAGCTGAACCTTTTTGTCTCTTATTGTGTTTCCTAAACAAGTATGCTAAAATGTCTCATCTTTTAAAACAGGGCATTCAGGATTTCAGCTAATATGATCAAACTTTTTAGATATTTTAATAAAATGCATAAAAACATACCTTCTAGTGCAGAAGAGTTTGTGCCTGTATTTATTTCTGTATCCATTCATCCATATGCTCCCACAGGAACATTAATTTCAGTAAAAACATTTTGGTTAAAAGAGTCTCAGATTAGTCACCTATTCTGCCATAGCAGGACTAAATTTACTGTTTCCATTAGCCCATGACCACTGCAGTGTCCTGCTACCAATTGCCATCCTGAGCGTGTTTTGTAAGCGAGGCCACGCTACACTTGTGGACCAAATGGTGTATGCCAAATGATTATGCAGGCCTTGAGGCACTCTGGGTGTATAAACATTTACACTACAACAGATCTTTGGCCAAGTGGCCAAGTAATTGATTACAGGGCTATGAATGTCACTGGATTTTATTTATGAAAATCCCATGGCATGAATTTGTGCAGAACTAGTACTGGCAGATTTTAAATGTAGGATACTTTCAGGTGAATTCAGAAGGAAGCAGCCCTTGCAGAAAATCGTGGAGAGCAAACAGGAGCAGGTCTCACCCTGGCTACCATTTCTTCGGAATTCAGAATATCTGACAATTAGGCAAATGCATTATGAAGGTTCCCTGCTTTGCCATAACATAAGTGAACATGAGGCAGTCTTTCCTATAGGGAACACTATATAAAAACAAGAACACTGACCTATGTTAAAAAAAACAACAACCAACCCAAAAGACAAAATAATAAAATCAGAATCAGAAATATTTTAAAATAAAATTGGTTGAATTTTAGCTTTAAATACAGACATTAAATAGAAAATGTCAATTTTTTTATTTGTCATAGAGACAAGTTATTACAGGAAATATTTTTTCCATTTTAATTGTTTTTCCCATAAAATCTTAATTAATTAATTTGAAAGGTAAGGAAAAATTCTGTGGAAAGTCAGAAGGAGATATAGTGATAGTCAGCTGTACAAAATCAGAAGTCAGAAGCATCATTTTTATCTTTAGAGGTGGCACTCTTAGACACACATATGATAATAAGGAACCATGCAGAAGCATATTGGCCTTTAGTTTTAACATCTGCAAAACACAAAGTCTCCGACCCATAAAATGATATGGACAGTTAACTTTGCACACTGTGTTAAGCCTCTCTACAGAGCATCTCGTTCAAAAATGCACATAAGGGCATATTCAAGTGTGCTTCTCTGGAGCTGAATTTGCTGTCCTGGTTTCTTCTCAGCTTCAATATTTTTTTCTCTTTCTTTTGCTGCTTAACTGGAAGAAAAAAAACGTATGAGTGCACCCTAATCTGATTCACTGCATTAGACACAAAGGATAAAGTCTCCTCAAGTGGCTGATAGACAAAAGCAAGCCGTAGGTTAGAGACAATGATTTTAACCATTCCCCTTTTTGTAAAATGACTATCTGTCTAAAAGCTATGCCTTTGCAGAGCTGATGAGGAATGTGCTGATCCACAGCATTTGTCACAAATCTGCTCAGTGTGTTGCTCTCAGAAGTACCAACACATGCACTCTAAATGTGGTTTACAGACACTTTTTCCCACATGCTAGGTGGTTATAGGTCCTCCTCCTTCTAATTTACTCAAATCTCTGTATTATTGGCGTAGTTTCCTTTCAAGCATCACCTCTGGCAGAGATAAACAATTCTGTGAGCAAGTGTAGGGAGCTGTGAACATCACCACATGCACATGACAGCAGTGGGACAGGCAGCTCATTCCAGAGTTCTGAGCTCACCGTGGGACACCGTGGCACTGGCTGGCTCCAAACCCAGATACAGTCATAATAAAACATGCTGCATTGTTCAGAGTAAGTAAACAGTATGCAAACCTGGACTTGTACAGTTCTTTCTGTATTTGTAAATGGTTTGTAAATGGAGAGAGTGAAAAACTGAACAGGTAACAATTCTGTGACTCAGTTTTGATTGTTCCTTTAAACTCCTGAGCAAAACCACCCAAGAAGGATAAAGTTCTGTCTCTAAGATTCAAAACTGTTTTCTGAAACACCGATACTAAATGTGCTACTGATAGCAAAAGTTGCAATTCAAAATGCAACACATGAATTGAACTTCTCTGTGATATAATTAGAAAATAATTAGAAATACATGTGGTATGCTATAGCTACATTAGAATAGCACCCAGAATTAAACCCTGCTCAGGTACTCTGTGACTTTTGGGAGCAATGCCAAGCTGCATCCTGGCAAGCCAACAGACCCAAAGAATACAAAGGTGGTCTGGAGTTTGCTTTGCTTCCTTTGAAGTCCTGCCCTGCACAAAGGTTAGTCAGACTACACTGACGGTCTCAGAACAGCTAATATGTTTTTCTTTGAGCAGGGTCTGTAATTGGAAAGCATTTTGAGCAGCAGGAGGGCAACCATGCAGTTCTGAGAGAAAAGTAGTGCATTTCCTCTGTCACAAACAAGAAACAAATCACTTTCAGTAGTAAGAAGCCAACAGCAGCATCTCTAGAATACATGTGGAACAGAGCTGCTGTTGTTAGAAATGAAAAAGACCTATTGATCTGCTAGTCCAGCTACCTGCAAATTTAAGACTGTACTCTACAGGATGTCTGCTATTTATTTTCTAAACTGGTTTCAGAAGACTACATATTGGTGATCCCACCACTTTCCTGTTAGGTTTTATTCCAATTTTCACATAATTCCCTGTCAAGAGGAGAAGAAGAGGGTGAGATTGTTTGTTTTCCAGACTAGTTTTTAATTCCTTAGATTGTATCTGAATGTCCCTCTAAATTATTTTTTTGTGGCTTACCTACATAGAAAAAGTTTCCTTTTCATCTTGCCTTACCCAGCTTTGATATTACATCAGAAACCAGCAGTCCTCTGAATGTTCATTCTGGTCAAATGACCACCACTGGACATTTTCTGGTTGCCCTTTGCCGCTTATTAAATTCTTTCTTTCCAAGCTCTGTGGGCAGCATAATTTTAGCAATGAGCTGTCCAGGATGACAGGCACAACAAATAAGAGCAATCCAAGAGTATAAGGACCTAATTAATAAACTAATAGAAGCATGTAAATGCAGAGTGTCAGAGCTTAAAATGAAAATGGGGACAAACATGTTGGTTTCTTAGAACCTTTGTAATTGTTTCATGTCAAAAGTGCCCAAGGCTAACCAGCCTTTAGTGGATTGATAAAGGACCAATGTGTCGGGCCTTATTTAGTGGAAGAACCCAATTAATTATTATACAGAATTAGATGCCATTTAGCATTGCTTATATTACTGATGACTCGCTAATTTGGCTGGCTCTGATGTAATTACAATTAATTTACGTCCTTAATCCTAATGCTCTAACCTGGCTTTGATTTAATCAGGCGATGTGAAGGTATCACAATCAAAGCAGCATTGAGGAGCTCGCTGCTAAAAAGAGATAATTACACCTTACAAAACATATCCTTCCTACCACTCACATCTTGAAATGCTGAATTAGAGCAGCGAAATTCTCAGTCAGGAAATCTCCAATGGCAAAGTTCAGAGAAGACCTGAGAACACTGCCCAAAATTCTTCTTTTCCTTCTCTCAGAATATGCAAGAACAGTTGTAGTTGTTTAGCTGCAATCTACAGATCTTCAGATAAGCCCAAAGAAGATCAAATCTTCTTGCCGTGCCATCAAGACACAAGAGGCGACAGACAGTAAAGCTGAACTGCCTGTAACATCTGGAAGAACACATCAGGGCAAATGAAAATAAAAGCAAACCAGAGCTCAGCTTCAGCTTGCCTGGATGAGAAGTCAGAGCTAGAGAAAGTAAAAATCCCTTTCTCCTAGGGATGCTGGTCTTTTGCAGACATTTTGCAAAATGTCAGCTCCACTTGACCCTTCCACACTGTCACAGCTTAGAGATAGCTCTGCCCTCTGTGCTGTCTCAGACAGCATGGGATCTCTTGATAAGGAGTCCTAAAGGTGGGGAGAGGCAAACAGATCTCTCTGAGCCATTCCTGCAGGTGTTAGAGAGGGTCCTCACTGTTGGTTTGTTCTCTGGTGCCTGGGAGAAAAGCAGTTTTGAGGAATCAGTCTTCAGATGCTTTCTTAGAAACTAGATATAAGGCAAGCCTGTAGCCACAAAGTTTTGCTGTGGATTTTCTTACCTTGCCTCCTGATTTCCCCTTGGGCTGTAGATCTGTCCCCAGACTTTAACAATACAATGTGACCTCTGCTTTATTTTTTTTCCTTTTAAACTTCTGTTTTAAATGGATCTGAGAAATTTAATTACCTGACTGCTATATGTCTACAATGCTAAACTTTAAATCCATAAGCCATTATGTTAATTTTATGAATTCTTGACAAAATATTTTAGCTACTCATTCATTCTTTAGCATATAACTTACATGTGCTCCACTATGAAAAGCTTCTTTGCCATTGCAGAATTGAAGGGCACAGAAAGTCTCTCTCTGTTCCCTGTCTTAGAGGCCAGCCTGACAAAAAAAGACTTCAGCTGAAAAAAGACTGCCATAGTAGAATGCACACGGGGGCAATGCAAATCTGCTTATTCTTTTGCAAGCAGCACATCTTTCAGCCCAAAGTTGCACGTGTTAGTGAGGTTATCATAACACTGGAAGTTAAGACAGTTCACAGGCTGGAATGAAAGAAACTGTTCAGTGCAGGGAATTTAATTTCAGTTACCCTGGTTGTGTTGCTTTGCAGTCATCAAGCTGCTCTTTTCTTTCTTATAACTTTGCTGCTGTGTAGTACTGTAGGACAGTTCAAAAACACTGAGCTTACCATTACTGATTGCAGCCAAAGGAACTGCTGTAACTTACTGTCTTTTGTTTTGTTAACTAAAAACAGGACATTTTTAAGAGAAAAGACATTAGCTTCCAATTTTGCTTGCTTGCTATGGTACCTTCTATCTACATGCAGGGTGAAAGATTTGCTTTACAGAACCCACAGCTTCCCACCTCTCCTTTTATCAGTTCATAGCAAACAACCTGTGCCCAGATGTAATGGGAGGACAGCAAGACTCACCCCTCATTTCCTCTCCCCTTGTCTTGTTCCTATCATTGTATTCAAGTCATCCCAGATCAGTGCAGCACTTAATATTATCAAATATATCCTTAAGTCCCACTAAAGGCCCTGAGAGTTAAGCATAGGTTTATATACTTTGCTGCAAAGCAGACTGTCAGAGACCCACCTGTGTGCTCTTCATTGACAGATTGGCTCCAAATTGTTGCAAGCACTTTCATTAGTCAGTCTCTGAGACAAGCCTGCTTTTATCAAGCTGTCAGACTTTTGCACAGAGGAGAAAAAAGAGAGGAGAAAGTTTTGAGAGGGAAGGAGAGCTGTTCCTTCCCTGTGCATGCAAACATCTCCCCAACAGCTGACAGAGCTGCAGATGTGTTGTTTTGAGATGCCTGCTCTCTCTACAGCAGGCATGCTCCAGAGGAGATAATGGCTGCCATCCCACCGAGAGTGCTGTTATATGATCCTCTTTCAGTTATTTGAAATATGGACTTCACTCAGAGGATTCTAGGAATAGCTGCTCCAGCTGTTCTGGAGAGATAGAAAGCTGTCACAGGAGACTTTGTTAGACTCTGCTAAAATCAGCGGCTGCACTAAAGATCTCACATAAACTCCTTAAGGGTTTGTACCATTCAGTCAGGAGTCAAGGAGAAGTGAAATGTGGTCTGTGACTATGAGGCAGTTTGTATTCCATGCATCAAGGCTATGCTTGGATTTGGCAGACAGAATAGGAAAGACGCTAAACGGATCCTTTTATCAAGTGTCTGAGCAGTTACTTGATCTAAGAGGTTTGTATACCTGCAACCAGCAATGTAAATGTCTGAGACAAATTACAAGGCAGCAGCAGTGTTACAGTGAAGGATGAAAGTGCACACAGAAAGGCAAACAAGCAAAGCATTACAACAGCCACTTAATGGCAAACACATTTATTAACATCAAGTGCGATGTTTGTAGGTTTTCCCTGCCACAACCAGCTGCAGATGCCAGCTACTTAAAAAGATGAAACAGTGCAGTGAATAAAATTGAGGGATTTTTTTATTTTTTTTTTTTCAATGTAGCCTGCCTGCATTCTTGGCAGAGGAAGCAGGCTCCTAGCTCTGCCTTCGAAGGAACAAAAGGCATGCTGGCACTCAGTGAGCAAGTTGATTTCACAAGGCCTCCTGGGAAGGCTGTACCGGAGCACGGCTCTGTGTCTGGCAGCTGCATCCTTGAATAAAAAGAGGAGGAGGAAAAGGGCAGGAAGGAAAGAGCACACAAGGTCTCCATACCACACATGAGAAGCTTTTACACACAATCAGACATCCTTGCCCCAAAGTATTCAATAAAAGAAGTGTTCAAGGTGAACCACTATACTTACTGCACACCACAGCAGCACATTTCACAGGCTACTGTTCTTTTATTAGAAACATTTCTCAAAGGTTTTATTGATACTCATAGATTGTAAACGTTCAGGTTTTTTAAGTATAGGAAATATAGTGAAGAAGAAGAACTAAATAAAAATTTAAAAATTCGAGATGCTTTATAAAGCAAAAATAGCATTCTTTCCTTTTGCTTTTTTGCTGTTACTCAGGAGAAATATGTAGTCAAAATGCAAGTGGGAAACTGTCCTATTGCAGCAGAGTACACCAGTTTATTTCAGTTTAAGGGACTGACTCAAAATAGGTATTTTATTATCCCAGTGGTATGACATGGACAGAAAACAGCTAGAAAAATTAATGCATGACTCAGTGGAAATTCAGAGATAGAGATATTCATATTAATACTGGATTATGTCTGAAATGTAAGACTGTGAGATAAACCCTCTATGTCTACGATACTGATTCTCATCAAGACCTTAATCTGGGTAAGCAAGGTACAGGTAAAGGATTGCTCACTTCAGAACCTTAAAAAAATAATGAAGCTCAATGTAGTTAGGACACTTTTCTTAAAAGGCAGAGTCAAGGTCCTTCTGTGTTTCAAAGTCCTGGAAAACTTCTACACAAACTAGAAAAAGAGGAGGGCAAAATTAGTATTACCATGATAATATTGGTGCCTCACCACATTTCCAGGATTGGTCTTTTAATTTAACTCCAGTGTATTTAGACTCATGCAGAGAGCTAAATTAATCATTATGCAATGGAAATCAGGAAAAAATTCCTTAAGGGCATATTGACATTTTATCTCTCTTGTTCATTGACACAGATGTAAACAGGAGCTGCAAAAGAGTGAGAATCTCTTCTCTTGCCTATTTCACGTTCGTAAATCAAAGTAGGGTTTAATCTGATACTCCTGTTCTTCCAGCAGGAAAGAATGAGGGAGGGTATGCACTCCCTGAAAGTTAACTCCTGGCAGTGAGGCCAAAGAAAAAGAAGCATTCAATTCTTTAAAGAAGATGGTGATCCTAATAAAAATAAACATCTGGTTATCTGAAACCACTGTCAGAGGAAGTGTTTATTTTAACTATTATGTGTACCTGGTGGATCTGATTAATCCTTCCTCCTACTCAGAATATATATATATATATTTAATCCTAAGTAATTCTACTGACTGCAGAAGGATTCCTAGCATCAGCAAGATTGTTGTGGTTATAAATTTTAGACAATAGAGCCTTTAAAAAAAATAACCTAAGCAAACAAGTCAAACACCCCACAACCCAACCCAACCCAACCTTCATCATGACCTGTTACTTGCATGCCAAATTCTTGCTAATTAGAAAGTGTTTTCTGTGTCAAATAGAGGTTGCTCCTATATTGCAAATATTGCTGAGAGTTTATGATAATTATGTACTTCAAACAAAACTGTTTTGGATAGTCTACAATGGTCACCTCATTTCTTTGTTGCCTGATCATCTAGGGTTAGTAGTTTAAGTAACTTACTCTCAGCAGAATCGAGTAATCCTATCTGATCATACCCTTTACATCTTAGTAGTGTTTCCTTATGCATCTTTAGCCCAGTTGATCTGAATAGTGGGGAACTTGATTCTCTTAACCACTTTTAATGTTGTTTGCATGCAGTATCTTATTGCAGCACCTTACTCCAGCTTGTGTGTCACCAGTGGTCCTCTCTTTTGTCCCTCTTGGGACACAGCACGCTCTGCAGCCCAGGAGCCAGGCCTGCCTCACAAACAAACTGAGCATCCTTTATAACAGAGACAGGATCCAGAGCAATTGGAATATTTGTTTCTAATCAGCTTCTAAAATGGCATCATTCAGCTGTGCTTAACCACATTACTTAATTTGTAGTCTGTTTTGCTATTGATTTCTAATGTCCTCTCTACAGTTATAGGACATCACTCAATACAGCATTTTCTTTAGCTAATACAGCTAAAAAGCTGAGAAATTTAGCAAATATGTTTGTAAATTTAAGATTACAGCTCCCTTATAAATTAGTTGATAAGGCTATTTAATGAAAATATGCAGAATTATATATGCAATATTTTTCTAAAAGTATCTGAAATAAAAATTAACATGAGGTATTAGAAAAATTAACTTTGGTTTAAAAAAAGAAAAAGCCAAAACCAACTACCATCTTTTTCTTTAAGGCAGACCCTGACTCTGTGTTGCAATTCCTCCTATTTCTATTTGGATCAGATGCTTTTTAGGGCTCATTGTTTTGTGCAAAAAATGTTAATTCTTGATGACTTGAGAACAAAATAAAGGAAGATACATCTCGTAAATGGAGGAAGTGGGAAATATTATATTTCCACTTAATTATCAGTTATGGGACAGAAAGAATTATGGATTTCTCCAGTGAGGAAAGAAGAAACCGGAAAGAACACAGAATGCTTTTAGATATTTATCAGTTGAAACCCTGATAAAAGAATGAAAAGAGGTCGCTGTGAAACATTTTCTATAGAAAGTTCTGAGTCTACCTTCCCAAGGTATGTTTGAAGTGGACCTCACAAGTGGTTTTAAGGCTCCATCAATTCCCAACATCTGATATTAACCAGTAACATGGGAACTTCTTTTTACTCTGAAATCTGAGCACATTTCTATCTCTCTTTTCAAGGAGGGACATCAAGAATGTAGCTCAACTTCAAACTTGAGAGCTCAAATAGCAAAATCAAATTTTAAAGAAAACCACACTTAATGGTAACAATCTGATAAAGATATTCCAAAAAATTTGCACAAATTTTGGTACACAAAATTCTTCATATGGGAATGCCTGGTTTTCTCAAAATTGGACTGTCTTAAGTAAATTCTAGAAGAATAATTCTTACTTGTACTGTAACAGTAATCAGTGCTTCTTGCTTTAAAATAAAATTATTATTTTCCAAAAAGTAGCTTAGTTCAATGAATTTAAACTGTTTGTGAACTCATTACCCACAAGTCATTGAGAACTCAAGGACTGGTAAAAAAAAGCCCCTATACATTTGGTAGAAAATATGCACATTCATACAGTATTTAAATAGTCATTTAGCATGTGCATTCTGCCCATTCTGACTGTAGTGCTTAGTGCATGATTTCCATATTTCCACTTTAGACAAGTAGAAAGTCTTAATCTGAACAAAAATAGAACCTCCAAATCAGAACAGGCTGTTATCAAACTCTACATTTCTTCAAAATTAATATAAACACCCTTTGGTTAAGAAAAATGTGATATGACATATTAACCTCTTCAAAGAAAGACACAACACAGATTTCATAGGAGCTGCTTGTTCACATCACTGAAAAGAAGAGCTGAGCAAACAAAACCTTTGCCTGTAGGGACTAAGCTGTAGTTAAATATGTTTGGTTTAGAATTCACTTCTGTGCGAACTTCAGCCAAGTTGCTTCAGTTTAAAGAGAATGAAGGCTGTGAATGAAGTTAACAATATTTTCACAAAAGATGGAATTTGAAAGAGCCGACGTGGAAACCTGCTCTTATGAACAACTATATTCAATCAGGGGATTGTGTGTGCAGTCAATACAATTCAAATTGCAAATATAAACAATGAATAGCAAGCACTCAAAGGACCACTGACAGAAAACACGTTGTCAGCAGTTCACTGCCTGAAATATCTTAACAACAAACATTTGCTGAGTAATTGCAATCAACAAATTTGTTGAAACACATCCAGTTAACTGACAATTTTTCAAAAGGAAAAGATAAACATGTGGAAAAT